CCGACCGCGCCAGGTGAGCCGCCCGCACACGGCGCGCCTCCGCAGTGGCCAGGGCCGGGGATGGGCGGTGCCGCCGGGGGCACTGCGCTGCTCTCCGCGCTCCAGCGGTTGTTCGTGGGGAGACTGAGGCGCCGCGAGGCGAGGGCGCTCGCCCAACGGTCCCTCCGCAGCCTCTCTCTTCTCTCAAGGGTAGAGAGCTTGTACATTGCAAAGCGCTTTAGGCGAAAATGAGTCAAAGATGTCGTGGGGCGGGAGAGAGGGAGCAGATACCGAGGCTGGGGATCAACCGGAAGACCCCAGACCGAGGGGCCCGCGCGGCGCGGGGACGTGGGCGGGGATCGCGCTGCGGATTCTGGAGCGCGGCTTGGGTTCCCACGAACTAGGAGCGAGCGTGTCCCCGCTGACGATGCTGGACCCGGGACGCAGGCAGGCGGGTCTGGACCACGGAAGGTGGGCAAGCACTTTATAGGAAGGGGTACCTGTCTTTAAAAATAGTAACATTGGCACAGACTTACTGTTTGCCGAGCAACGTCACGTCCTGGGCTGTCCCTGAACGAGCTAGGTGGGAATCGGCGATTGACAACCTGACCTTAAGAAAGAAGTGACTCCAAGGGCCCTCAGAGGCGGGGAGGAGAGTGGCCTGAACCCTGTTTCCCTGGTACTCCCCACCCGCCCCCTGCCTTCGTGGCACTCAGACAAACGCCAGGAGCGGGGGTAGCAGGCGGTGTGGACCCACAGGCTTCGGTTACAGGAAGCGACGGGGACGAAGCCGCAGGGCTGTTTCCGTCTTACTCTGAAGTGGAAGGGATGTGCCAGTTAATTCCCGCCCCCCACCCCCCAGGAGGAATCAGGCCCGGGTGAAGGACGTGTGTTGTGCCCCTTCAAATTTCAAGTAGGCTTGGCCAGCCTCGCTTCCCTATGTGAGCGGAGTCCCCACGGAGCTGAAAGCTGGGGAAACTCTGTCCCACCTGTGCCCCGGCTGGGCAGAGCCAGAGGGCCAGCCACAGCTGGGTGGGAAGGTGTGGGTCCCTTTTTCATCCCGGGGCTGCAGATGCCCGCCCACCCCCCGCCCCGGGCGAGGCCGTGTCCTTGCTGTCAGCGCTGGCCCCATTTCGCCCAGGATTGGTAGAAAGACAAAATTCCAATGGCCTGAGACATCACTGTCCAAGTCCCTCGAAACATTTGTCTCTGGCGAAGCGATGCCGTTTGCTGCGTATGCATCTCCCCGTTCCAGCGTGTTCAGGACATTAGAAAAGCGACTGAGAGGTGGCTCTACTCGCCGTCCTTTTGGGGCCTATTAATTACTACCGCAGCTCGGACTGGTGTGGTTTATCACAAAATTGTAGAGATATTAGTGACTTCCAAAATCCACATGTGGGGGGTGGGGGGGGCGCACATTTAAATGACAGCCAAAAGTTAAAATTATCTGTTGCTTAAAAAGAAATTTCCTCTCCATGAATAAGTCATCAGGCATTAGAAAGAAGCCAAGGATGTTTAAGACATTACTCAGAGTTCTTGGAAAAGAAATGCAAATATGTTTATTTACATCTCCTTGCCCCAGTACCTCCCTGAAAAATAAAGGGGGGGCAATGAAGATTAAAGGAAATCAAAACCAAACCCCACCAGTTCTGTGGGCACTGGTCCAGACGGGTGTGCCTCCCTGCCCCAGGCCCCTGGGAGCCGAGCGCCTCCTCCGTCTCCTGGGACCACTGCCAGTGGGGACATGGCGACAGAGCGGGGGGAACTTCCCCAAGCCCCCGCACCCCGCGAGTCACCCTGCAGCTGGAACACTTGACCTCCAGCGCCTCAGCCCCTCAGCCCTGGGAGCGTCCCCCACTCAGTCTCCTCGGAGCTAATGCCAGCAGCCTTGGCGGGCTTCCCGGTGGTGGCCGGCTGCCACCATGAGGACACATCCCCAAGAGGGCAGAGGACGGGTCAGCTGCAGCGGGGCGCTGGGCACCCCAGCAGAGCAGCAGGCCCTGCCTGGGGGGCTTCTGGATCTGCTGCCCGCCCCCAGGGGCATCGTGCTCAGCTCTGCCCCTCCTGCTGGAGGAGGGGGCACCCCAAGCTGAGTAGCCCCTGCTTGTATCTCTTCCGGAGGCACAGCCGCTGCCACCGCGGGTGGCGGTCCTCCGTGGGGTGACGCAGTGCGTTGGTGACATTGTGGAAAGACGGCTGATCCCCTCGTGTCTCTCCAGGAAACAGTAGTGAGTCAGAGGAAGTCCCCAGCACGGGGGCCGCGGGGAGCCCGGCACTGCCTGGTACCCACCGGGCGCCAGACTCCAAGTTCCACGCCGGCCACGCCAAGATGGACGCCATCAAGAAAGGACATGCCAAGGACAGCCAGCGCTACAAGGCCGACTATGAGGCCCAGAGCACGGACGCCCAGAACTTCTCCTCCGAGTCCAAGCGGGAGACGGAATACGTGAGAGCCGGTCCCTTGTCCCCGTGACGGGCGGTGGGGGCGTCCTGGGTGAAACGCTGGTCCGAGGTCCGGCGGGAGAGGAAGCCCCACCCGCGCTTCATCCCGATCGCTCTGTCCCCAGTCTCCGGGGGACACACGGGGGGGTGGGGCGACCACTCACTCGGTCTGAAGCTGGGCCAGGGGCACCTCAGCTCCGCCCGGCTCAGGCCGCGGGGCGCGCGTCACCGCTGACCCCGCTGCCCGCCCC